AACACCAGTCACCCCAAACAGCTCTCCATCTCCTTTCAAAGACAGAAATCTTCCCAGAAATCTATGAGAGAATATTTAGAAAGACCTTAGCACAGAATCTCACACGTGCTAAGTATTTAATGTGTTTATTTCCGGCTTCCCACCCCCCTCCATTTCCACAGACAATTCTTTCACACAGACTTTCATTTTCCTAAGACCACAACCCTATTTCCATTTCTTTGATGACTGAGCCATGGGACAGGTACATAAGTGTTTAGCAGGGACCCTTTATACCAGAATGTCTGGGTGAAGGGTATGGAGTCCCAGGAGGAGTTGGAGGAGTTAGTATCAATGATTATAATAGTGCTGGTGATGATGAAGGTAGTGCTGGTGATAGTGACTAGTACACACAAGCACACACTATAAGGTTTGCAAAGTGCCTTACCACACCAGGAGGCAGGTAAGTCTAGTGCCAAGAGCTCTCAACTTGGAGGCAGAAGACCCAGATTTAAAAGCTGATTCTTCCACTTAATTCCTGTGTGATTGTAGAAAAGGCATGCCCCTCTGGACCTCATTTTCCATGCTGGTAAATTGAGGGGATCAGGCTAGGTTACACCTAAGATCCTCTCCAGCCCAAGGCTATGACCTCCTTCTCTAACAATTCCAGCCTGTATCAGAGTGGTTGAGTCAGAGACTTTACTAACTCCTCTTAGAGAACGTCCATATCTGGCTGCCTGCTTCAGTGAGTGGAGGGGCTGGGGTGTGGTGAGGGCACCTCCTAGTCCCACTTTGGAAAGGTATTCCAACTCTCCATAATACTTGTCTTTCCCCATATGCTTTACATCCACAATCTCATTTGACTCACAACAACCAAGTAAGGTCAGTAATGACATTAACTGACATTTCTAATGGAGCCATGGGTACCATGTGTACCATGTGCCAAGCTCTACCTGCAGGACCTTGCTTGAGCCTGCTAATAGCCCCAGGAGGTGGGTACCATGGCTATGACTATGTCCATTCCACAGAAGAGGAAGCTGAGGCCCAAAGAAGTTACTATAACTTGACTATAGTCACACAAGTCTATTTGGTGGGATAAGAATGCTCCAAGGCCATCACTCCATACACTGAGGTACACTGCCTCTGAATGTGTGACTCCAGGCAAGTCAGAGGGTCAGTCAACCAACAAGAATTTGTTAACCACCTTCTATGGAACAGGCACTGGAGTCAAATACAAAAAGAAAAGTAATTACAAGATGACATTTTAATAGTGGAGACAAGAACACTCTGGATTTAAGTGTACACAGGACAAATACAGAGAGAATACATAGAAACACAAAGAGGTTAAATATAAGGTTGTTTGGGAGGGAGGGTGCTAACTGTTGAGAGATCAGGAAAGGGAGAAAGGAGGGCTTAAGTGAAGTCTGTGGTTGTACGAGGTGAATGTGAGGAGGGAGGGCATTCCAGGCACGCTGATAGGGAGAGAGTCAGGACCTTGGACAGAGCCTCGACTGGTACTCTCACTTGATGGTTGAGGAAACTGAGAGGGGGGATGAGAGAAGAGCCCAAGGTTGAGCTTTGGACCTCAGTGTCTTCATACAGAATGAAAATTATAGTACTTTCATTGCCCACCATGCAGGGAGATCATTTGTAAAGTTTAAAAGATTATAATTCTCATTACCTAATATTAAACCATTCATGCAACAATTAGAATGTAAGCTTCCTCTGGCACAGAAAAAGTCTTAAAAGAAACTATGTGGTGCAGTGGTCAGAGCACTGGGCCTGCAGAAAGGGAAAACTAAAGTTCAAATTTGGCCTCAGAAACATACTAGCTATGTGACCCTGGGCAAGTCACTTTAGCTTTGCCTGCCTCAGTTTCCTCAATTGTAAAAGGAGAATAATAACAGCACCTACCTCATAAGACTGTGAAGCTCATAGGAGATACTATTTGTAAAGCACTAAGAATGGTGCCTGGCACAGAGCAGACACTATCTAAATACTTATTCCCTTCCCCACCTCATCTTGTAAGTCTTCCAGAAAGCCTCACCCAGAATTCTGAGGTCCTTCATCTAACTCTCTTGATATTCTGTAGGTACCAATACAAAATGTGGAATGTGTACCTATTGACCAGCTAGTTAGCAGGTAAGGAGCACATAAGGTTTGGAGTAAGGGAGACCTATGTTCAAATTCTGTCTCAAACTCAGTTTCCTTGACTCTAAAGTGAGAAGAATAATAGCATATACCTCACAAATTGTTGTAAGGACCAAATAAGATAATATTTATAAACCTCTTAGCACAGAACTCAGCAAAAAAAATGGTACTAATAGGTCTTAAATAACATAATTAATAGAATAATAAATATAAATAAATAATAAATATTAAAATGCTTGTTCACTACCTTCCTAACTAATAAAGGCTGCTGATTGATTTTAAAAATAATAATAACAATAATGATAACTGGATATTATGCTATGGGAGGCACATCCCTTTTAGAAGTGGCTCTTTCCTTTCAGAAGTGTTCAGTCTCCTAGGGAAACATAAAGCATCAAATCAGATGCCTTTGACAGGCTGCAGCTTCCTCAGCAATATGTCCATTCATTGGACAGGGATCTCCCATTTAAAATACCAAGAGCCAAATGCAAGTTTATGGCTGGTCTTAGCCCTCCCAGCCTCTTTCCACCCCTATGCCACCATCTCTGCAGAAGCAGAAGGGGGCAGCAAAGGACTGGGGGTCACTCATTCATTCCATTTCTTTCCTTCATGAGTTTCCAAAGCCAAAGAATTTCTCATTGAGTGGCCAGCAGGCTGGTGATGCTAATGCTGAGCCTCTTTGTAATTAACTCAGCTGCTGATCATGAGCAGACTCAGCCTCTCGCTGGAACAATACTCCTAGTCTTTCAGGCTTGTAGGATGTTCTGAGCTTACACATCCCTGACACAGTCTTCAAGATCCCAGGGTCAGGTCCACACTAGGTGTCATCAGGATTCAGTGGAGGGATGTTAATATAAAATGTGATTCAATGCACAGGACTTATGAGTAATAATAATAATAATAATAATAATAATAAGGCTTTGAGGCTTGTAAAGTACTCTGCAATTCATGATCTTGTTCAATCACAAATAAGTTGATGGGGATGCTAATGGAAGGTCAGAAGATGGAGGAAGGAATTCCATGGGGGAAAGGGGGATGGTCAGAAAAAGCCATCCTGAAAGGAGTGCCACTTGTCATGGCTTTGAGGATGGGCAGGATATCAACATGTAGAGATGAAGTGTAAAGAGTGGCAGACATAGGGATCAGCATAGGCAAAGGGATTGCAGTAGAACCATATGGGATGTGTATGGGGGAAGCCAAGTAGTCCTGTTTGTCTGGAGCTTTGAGTGCTTGGTGGTGAGAAGCAGAGGTTAAGAGTAGCTAGGTGGCTCGATGGATTAAGTGCCAGACCTAGATTCAGGAAGACCTGAGTTCAACAAATCCACTCTGAGATGCTTACTAGCTGCATGACCCTAGGCAAGGCACTTAACCTTCTCTGCTTCAGTTTCTTCATCTATAAAATGGGCTAGAGAAGGAAATGGCAAACCAGTCCAGTATCTTTGCCAAGAAAACCCCCAAAAGGTCATGAAGAGTCAGACACAACTGAACGACAAAATGCATTCCTGGATAAAGTGCTTTACAAACCCTAAAGAGCAGCTATATGTACATTCTAGATATTGAATAATGACTTTTAGATGGTGGCAGCCCAGGGAATCAAGTGCTGGACTTGGAATCAGGAAGACCTGACATCAAAGCCTTCCTCGACACTTGGGTGATTGTGGCCCAGTTCCTTATCTGCTCACATGATCGTCCTGTGTTCAGTGGCATATGAGAACACTGTAGGCCTGACCTCATAGAGTCCTGATGAAGCTCAAGGGAGAGAGAGAGACCATATCTATTTGCTCTCCACAAAGCCCTGTAGAAAGGTCAGGGTTTTCCAATGAGTATGTAGCAGGTGGGGCTGCTATGAAATTATAGAATGAGCAGTCTATGATGGGTGGCTGAGGCCTCAGCTCAGTGTGTCTTTTAGGGCTTCACATATGTCCTTGAAAGGCCCAAGCTCCTCCCATAAAACACCATTGCCTCCAAATGCAGAGGATTCTCTGGGGATAGAAATAGCTAATTCTGTTCCCAATATTTATTCTGAAAACTTTAACAAATAAGATTTTCAGGTTGAAAAGAACAGAATTGGAAAATCACTGAATGTGAGAGCTAGAAGAACCCCGAAGACCTGGGAAGTCTGAACTGAGAGGGTCTTTAGAACATCCAATCTAGAATTCTGGAGTTTGGAAGGGCCTTAGAACATCCACTCTGGAATGCTGGAGTTTGGAGGGGCCTTAGAACATAAGACATAGACTGAGGTATATGAGAGCTGAGGGCGTCTTCGGGATATAGAATGTCATAGCTGAGAGTGACCAAGGACAGGACAGAAAGTAGCTTAAACCGTCTCCTTGCCAAATGCCTTGAGTCCTGCCAAAGCTATTCTGGGATGAATTTCCTTAAAGGAACATGTGGTGGGTGGAGAAAGGAATGAAAATGGAAAGGCAGAAAGGGCTTTTCCCTACTTCTTTTTTAGAAGTCCCAAATGTCTCTTCAGGCCGTTTCAGGTCCATAGCTGGCCCCTTTCTGTAGTAGCTAAACGAACAGTCCGGAGCCTGATTTGGTAAGCCAACAAGTTGTAGCCTCTCACAGCACGGCACGACATGACATGACAATGATGATGGTGGTGGTGGTATTTCTGTAGCATCTTCCATTATGTTTTACTCTATGCATCAACTATTTATTAAGTGCCTACTGTATGCAGAGTCCTGTTCTAGGCACAAGGAGAGATAGCACCCACCCCCTGCCCTCACAAGGGGCGTCACATTTACCCTGAAAGCCACATCCTTAGTGGGTTTAAATGACGTTTCACCAGATGTCTTGAGCCTTTGAATCATTTTTTTTTCCTTTGCCTTTATAACCATTTGCTTTTTTTTTTTTATTGCATCCCCCAGGTTTCCTGGAATGGGCAATCTTCTTAAGGTCCTAACCAGGGAAATTGAAAACTACCCACATTTTTTCCTGGATTTTGAAAGTAAGTTCAACAACTGACTAGACCCTTGTCCTTTCCCCTGCTTGTCCTTGCAAATGGCAAGAAGGTTTCAGCCTCATGGTCTCAGCCATGCTGCCAGCCCAACCTGGCTCCCTTAGGCCTGAGTCTTCCAGGAGAATGATGGTGATTCTTCCTCATCTGCTTTCAAACAGCTGTGGTCAGGCTGTCCATGGTGCTAGAAGTGACCTAATCTTCAGAGAGAAGAAACTGAAACTGGACTAAGACATTGAAAATACTGAAGAATGCATATATTTTAAATTACCTTGAAAATGCAAGGGAATGAAATGAGTAAGGACAAGGGAAATAGTTGAATTGGAGAGAAAAAATTGTCATGTGAGTGGTCTGCAAACACATTCAAGAAGTACAGCAAGAATCCAACATTAGCCCATTGACCCATTTAGAACATCAGATATAGGCTTTAGAACTTTGATCCTAGAACATCAGAGCTGGGAGGGACCTTAGAACATAAGACGTAGACTGTTAGAGATGAGAGGGACCTCCAACCTTCCGTCATGGCCATGGATCCTCTGCGTGTTCAGTGGAAGCCAGCCATCAGCCAGGGAAAATTGCCTTGATTAACAAAATTTAAATTTCAAGATTGGGAAGAAAGAAAGAAATAGATTCATATTTTGATGTTGGTCTGACTTCTCTTTTATTCCAAGATGCTAATTGTGTATTATCTCATATGAGGTAATATATTTAAAGTGCTTTTCAAATATTAAAACACTATATATTTATATATTATGTATATATAAACATTTATATACATATATACATAACATATATATATATATATATATATATATATATATATATATATATATATATATAGATGTTGTTGCTGTTGTTAATAATACTATTATTTTTTCTAGGGGATGCTCCCATTTCAGTTGTCTGGATAAATTTCTTTTCTCAAAAAAATTTTTTTTTCTCATCTATGTAAGATGGTGGATTATTGGTTTATGCAACATCCAATGGGCCAATATTTGATTTTTGCTTTATTTCTTTATTTATTTGAAGATCACTTATATAATATTTTTTTTCTCTCCAATTAAGCTAGCTTTCCCTGTCCTTGTTCATTTTATTCCCTTTCATTTTCAGAATAATGTTTTATATATATATATATATAATTAAGTACTTTTTTTTTAGTTTTAGGAACTATCACATGTCTCTTCCTGTCATTACTGGTTCCTTTGCTAATTTCTAACTAACCATGGTCTCTAGCCATATTTTGTTTCATTCTGAAATAAAAATAGCCTCATATTTATTTTTTTAAACATGGATATTAAAATGTTCCAAAAAGCATAGCAAAATGATGTCCTACAGCGAGTTCTCTTCCCCTCTACCATGACATTGCATAGCTCTGGCTGATACATAATAGTCCTCAGGGCTTGCCCAAGTAGCCCTTTTTGATGGAGTGTCTTAGATAGATATGCCAAACAGAAGCCCACATTTATATATATAACAGTGTCTGGAACATGTGCAGAGCACTTGGGATGGTGTCTCTCCATGTGGAAATCCTAGGAAGCCTGCTTCTGGGAAAAAACACAATGACATGTAAGGGAAGTGGTTTGGAGAGACAAACTGTTTAGGCTTGGATATTCTGTAGCTATTTCTGGTCAGCTAACCACATATTGGTTGGATGCAAGGGCACCCAAAGAGACCAGCTAGCTTTAGCTATGGTTGTCTCTGACTCATTGATTCTGAGGGATTTTGATGACTGCTCATTCATGGTGACTGGTCAAGGGAGTGGAGTCGCTGACCTTGGGAGTGTCAAAAAGTCAGAAGAACTAGCCACAGGAATCTGGGAGTCTGAGACTGTCCCAGGGGTTGCAGCCAGCACAGTATTGATGCCCCAAGGATCAAGGAGTGATCGTACGGACCCATACCAGGTACAGCTGAAATGAGGGCTCATCCAGCAGAGATACTAGCTTTGGAAGTGAACTTGGTGAGACCAGGGCTATGTAGAAACTGAACTAAGTATTAAGCCTACTTCCCTAGAGACTGAGTTGATAAATGATGGAGTATAGTATACCTCGGATGTAGTGAGGGAAAATGTTTTATGTTCTTGGTATATTTTTTAAGTAAATGGATCTGGGATGCTAGTTACTGGCCTCTGAACAAATAAAGTGGACATGCTAGTGAGAGCTTGATCCAATGAGTTAACATAGGGAAAGCCCTTTGTAAATTGTAAAGTGCTATGTAAATGCTATTTGGCTAGCTAGCTTAAGAGTGGTGGTGATGGTGGTAGTGGTGATGGTGGTAGTAGTAGTTATCGGTCATCATGATTTTACTGGACCTGTGATCAGGAGCTTCCCTTGTGAAGAACTTCCTTGCACCAATACAGGCCAGCGCCTTTTCTGCCCCATGCAGTCCCAGAGAGACTTGCCTGAGGTCTAACAGCCAGGACATGTCTGAGGCAGAACTTGAATCCAGGTTGTCCTACCTCTGAAGCCAGCCTCTTGTCCATTGAACTATTTCTGTCTGCACAAAATATATGCAAAGCTAAACAAAATATTTCAGGGGGCAAGGGCACTAACAGCTTTTGGACTATAAAGTCATTGTTTCATTGATGGGGTTATTTTTTTTTCTAGCTCACCAGGTGAGCAGCCATCTACAAATGGCTAGAGCAGTTTTAGATTTATAAATCTCATCCCTGACAACCACCCTGTAAGGCCATAGTGTGAGTAGAATTATTCCCATTGAAAACAGAAGGAAATGAAGATGAAAGGGAGAAATGACTCACCCAAGGTCACACAACTAACAGACATAAGCCTTGGGCTCAGACCTTTTGACTCTAAACATAGAGTTCTTTCCTTCACATTAGGCTCAATCCTGTTTTTATTAAAAAGAATAAAAACAAAATCCATATGAATATAACTATAACATGCTTAATGCAGATGTGTCTGAACTTTATTACCTGTAAGTCTGATTTTTGAATGCAAGAGGATTTGGCTTCAAAACTTCAGATCTATTCCCCTCAATTTAAAAAGGAGGAAAACTAGCCTCAGATTGGGAAAGGGACTTGCTCAAGGTCATGCAGGAATCTGGAAGATCTGGATTCAAAAGTCCCACCTTAGATGATTAAGTGGCTAGGTGACATTGGATAGATCACTTTTCTGGGCCTCGGTGAGCTCCACCTCTTAGAGACAATGGTGGTACGGTGGGAAAAGCTCTAGCTCTGGAGAGAGAAAACCTGGGTTCAAAGCCCATCTCTGATGCTCACTACCTGTGTGACTGAGGACAAGTCTCTGAGTCCCAGTTTCCTCCTCTGTAAATTGAGGCTGCTCCAGTAGTTGCCTCTGAGGCTCTATGACCAATGAGCTGTGATCCTCTGACTCCCAACTGGCATCATGCCAAGCTGACTAGTTTCACTTCAGCTCTGGTGCCCCTCTGGTTTGTCACCAAGGCCAGAACTGTCAGGTTGAATCAGTGCTACAAGACTCGTTTGAGCCAGTACTTTAGCAAGGGTGGGGGAAGTCTGGGAGCTGAGGAAAAGCCCCAACTTCAGCTTTCTGGCAGTGGAAATTGCCTTTCTCTGAGGGATGATGGCAACCAAGATGAAAGAAAAACTGAAAGAATTCATGAAAGACCCCCCACCCCCACTCCCCACTCACTGGGTGCAGTCGGTGTTTCTGGAAGAACCAAGGGGGAGGTTGGAACACTTAAAACATTATTGGCACCTTGGACTGTTGTTTTTCAAAGAGCAAATAAGTTGTGAGTGTCACACATTCCTTTTGAAGTCAATGATGAAATATAATTGAGCTGAGTTGAAGGAGTCTAATTGAACTGGGGGAAAGTGTTTCAGAGTTAAGTCCTCTGTGTTAGGCCAAGGGTCCCAACTGTCTGGAATGAGCTCCCCTCCCCCTCCTCTTGTCATCAGACCTTGGAGAGGAAGGCTCCACTTTCCACTAATGACCCACAGGTTTGAGCCCACTGCACTGTTTAAATTCTGCCATTTTATTCTGTGTGTCTGTTTCCTTCCTCAGCCCAGCCCTTATCTCAGATATTTTTTGTTAGGAGCTGGATCAGGCTGGGAGAGTCCTAACATCAACACTTCTCTCCACTGTCCCATCATAGGGTGGGTTCTAGAATGCTCTCCAGGGGAGTACAAGCCCAGGCTGGCCACTGAATCCAATTCAATGAGCCTCGTGTGATGGGGCTATACTGAAAAGGGAGGAAAAGAAGCAGCCAGTCCCTGTCCTCGGGGGGGGGGGGGGTGTTATTCTACTAGCATAGACACAGAAAAGTGAATAAAAATACGTACCAAGCCACGTCAGCCGAGGTGGCGGTGGCCCAGCAAGTAAGGGACCATATAAGGCCTCAGTGGGATATGGTACTGGAGCTGTGATTTGAAGGAAGGCAGTGATTCTAAGAGTCAGAGGTGAAGAGGGACAGAATTCCAGGCACAGCAAACAGATGATGGAGAGCAGGGACCATGAGTACACCAATGTGGTAGCACATGGAGTGTGCAGAGAGGAATATTGTGCAGTCACCCTGTAGGGTCTGATTATGGGGGTCTTTACATGCCAGATTCAAGAGCGTCTGTTTGAACCTAGGGCCATAGGGAGCCACAGATGTTTATTCAGCAAGAGATAGATATGCTTCAACCTGAGCTTTGGGAATACCCCATTGGCAGCTGGTTGAAGGCTGGACTGGAGGGAGAGAGCCTGGGGATCAGGGGAGCAACAAACAGATCCTCACAGCAGCCCAGAAACGAGGAAATGAACATCTAAACTAGGGCCATTGGGAGCCAGAGAAAGTGGAGTGGGGAATGGAGGATATCCACTGAGTGTGAGGCACTGGCATTGGTGCTGCTGATACAAAGTCCCACCCCTCAAAGATCTGCTTCTGTCTGTCAGCATACTTGGGGGGCTTGGGGAAGGGGGAGAATGCAAGATAAATTGAGGGAGACAATATTCACCAATCAGGGGATTGGGAAAACTGGAGCAGGTGGCACCTTGAAAGTCAGTCAGCGTGGTGCAGTGGTTAGAACACTGGACTCAGAATCAGGAAGACCTAGGCTGAAATCCTGCTGCAAAACTTGAGTTGGGTGATCCTAGACAAATCACTTGACTTTTGTCTGCCTCAGTTTTTTCATGTATAAAATAAAAGGATGGGACTTGGTCATCTCTAAGATTGCTTCTATCTCTAAAGCTCTGATCCTGTGAAAGAAGGCAGGAACTCTATGAGGTAAAAATGTGGAGGGACTCTATCCAAGGGTAGAAGCTGCTTGTGCAAAAACACAGAGGCGGGGGCAGACATGAGTCTGGGAAATAGCATATCGTGTTGGCCCTCTTGGCTAGAAGGTAGCGCGTGAAGGGAAACAATGTGAGACAAGTCTGAAAAAGATGGCGGAAGCCACATGGTAAAGCACTAACCTGCAGATTAGGTCTCCTTCCCATAAAATAAATGTTTTGTATCAACAGTACCTTATTTTTAGTAGATGTTTAATTAATGATTGGTGAATCGAATTGAATTGAACTGAAGCTACAGTTCTTGAGTAGGAAAGGGACCAGGCCAGAACCAGACTTCAAAAGGGGCAGTGAGCTTGGCTACTGGGTGGGAGATGCATTGGAGGAGAGAGATAATGGAAACAGAAGGTGCTGCTCCCTGTTTCTACCTCGAAAGATGTTATTGGCCTAAATGTAGGGAGGGCTAAGTGTGAGCCTCCTACATCCCAGAAACCAAGCTTCTGGCCCCTCATTACAGAAGGCTGAGAGTCCATGGTGAGGGGTGATGAATGTCCCCTTGGAAATAAACATGTCAGCCAAGTCAAACGTGTGCTTTCAAACTTATCTCTATATTTTGACGCCCCTCCCCCTTTCTCTGAGCTGTTAATGCCTTCCTATAAATCGTTACCACTTTACATCTTCAAATGTTAATATTACATCATAATTTATGTCCCTCGGTTTATCCCAAAGAAGAATAAAAAAAAAAAAAGAAAGGAGACCTCTGTGATTGATAGAGCCAGGAAGGCTTTGCTGTGTGTCCCTTTCTTCATTTGCCCCAACAGTGTTTATGCAGTGGCCCCCAGGGCTCTGAGCAAGTCATACATCCTGGTGCCAAAGCCAGCCTGTCCTCAGAGGGCTGGAGACACCTCAGAATAAATGGTGCCTTGCATACCGCCTGTGATCTTTGGCATTTAAAGAAAAAATCCTCTATCAAATTGTGTGGCTGCTTCAGCTAGTTTCCAGGGATGAATTCTCTGTTCTCATGGTTGGTTTAGAGGCCGAATAAGGCTTCAGCTGGTCTCACATTCTAAGGATGCACGCTGGGAATGATCACCCTCTTGGAGGCCTCTGTTTGTAGTCAGGCATCTGATATCTCTGACAAAAGCATTTCTGGTTAGCCAAGCCTCGTGGTACCTTTCCTCAGCTCTGTTGACAGGGAGAATGCTTATCATTCCACCTGGGATGAAAGGGCTCCGTTTCTCAATGAAAGGGGCCAGCCGGAACATGAAACTGGCCTCTTATCGACATGTTGACAGTCGATATTCACCATCACTTGGGGGCAAAATTCTCCCAAATGAGGTGAAATCCTTTTGATGAAAACCTCCATCGATCTGGCCTGAGTCTCCTTCCCTGACAAATCCCGCATATGTTGGATTCCAAACACTGGGCACTTTGAATCCGGCAAGCAGATGAATGTCAGGAAGGTCAGAGGGCAGTGGGTGTGCTGTAATACACTGGGCTTTCGTGGGTCCAGAACAGGTGTGTAAATCATCCCCCCATGTCAGGGGCTGCATGGGCTGCTTCCTCAGGCTATGGAAAGTATTGGTTTCTGAAATTGCCTGTGTAAATCACAGGGACTTTAAGCACTTCCTTGTTAAAACAGCAGTGTTTCCTGGCTTATGTAACGATCTTTCAGAATGACACTGAAATTACTGGAAATCATTGGAGTTGTGGAAAGCCATCATGAGATGAAATCTGGAGAGAGGCCACTGCCAAAAGAAACACAGGACAACAAATTAGGGAGCAAACACTTGCTTGGTCACCAAAGGAGCTGGGTTCAAATTCTGATGCTGTGTGCCATTGGCCATGTCCGTTAATCTTTCCTAGCTAACATTCTACTGATTCTCTATATTGCTGGTTTATGAGGGCTGGGGACAAATGAATCTGAATAAGCCTGGATACCATACCATGTCGCAAACATGGTGACCTCTATCCACTGCTCTGGGTTCTGGCAAACAGAAAAAGTCAAATCTCTTCTCTAGTTGGTGGCCTTTCAAATATTTGAAGACAGCCATTATGTACCCACCCCCCCCCGTCTCCTCTTTTCCAAGCTAAACATTCTCAGTTCTTTTCATTTGTCATCATATCACATGAGGTCAAGGCCTTAAAAGCCCTGATTGACTTCCCCTGGACTGTTTCCAGTTTTTAAATGTACTGCTGAAACAGTGGCACCCAGAGCTTTACTCTTATTCCAGACAAGGTCTGAGGAAATCGGCTAATAGTGTACCCATCACCTCCCTATTCCTGGAAGCCTTACCTCCAGTAATACAATCCAAACTTGTGTTCGTTTTTTTGATTCCATATTGGCTTTGCTGTCTGCTGAAATCCCCAGATCTTTTTTCAAAACTACTGCTTTTTGACACATGCCTCTCCCATCTTGTAATGTTGATGACGGTTTTTCACATGGGTAGAAGACTTTATGGTGAATTTCACCTTGGACTCACCCCGATACTCTAACCTGTCAAAATCTTTTGGAATCCACACTCTTCATCTAGTGCATCAGCTAGCCTTCCCAGCATTTATTCCTTTCACAAGTCACTAAGAAAAAATGTTTAACAGCCCAGGGTCAAATACAGATGCCTGGGTTACTCCACCAGAGATTTCCTGCCATGTTGATTCTAACCTACTCTGAGTCCCACTAAGTTTTGAAGCCATGTGGTGATATTATTTGAATCCTTATCTTCCCTCCTATCCATAAGAAAAGTATGGGAAATATGATGAAAATGTTGCTAAAATCTAGGTAAGCTATACCCACAACATTCTCCCATGTACTGTATTAGTAGTCCCATCAATAAAGAAAACAAGCTTAGTCTGGCAAGATCAAAACCATCCTTGCAATCACCTCTTCCTCTCAAAACACTGGCCGACCACTCTTCATGATCCAGTCTAGAGTCTCCCAGGAATGAAGTCAAGCACATTGCTCCAAAGTTTGCAGACGTTGTTTTCCTTTTTTTTTTTTTTTTTTGAAAACAAGAACAGCGTTTGCGCCTCTTCAACCTTGTGGCATCCCTTCTATTTTCCATGTTCTTTCAAGTGTCACTGAAGATGGCCATGCAATCAAACCTGCCAATTCTCTTGCCCACTTACAATTAGATCATAAACTCCTGTGGTGTGGGGGCCTGAGTTTGTTTCTGGCATTGAGCACATTCTCTCATGCTCCCACTTGCCACTGAATGCAACTGGGGGAAATCACAAAGCCTTGGTGACTGAGCCCACTATAACTTTATGGCACATCATCTCAACTGGGCCCTCACTATTGCTAGGCAATCCTGAAACCTCCCATAATCTACCCTGCCCCTCCTGCTATCTTCTCAGTTAAGAACCTTGCCTCATATTTCACTGAAAACATCCCAACCATTCACTGAAAGCTCAATCTTCTTCCCCCTCCATGTCTTACATTACTCACATGTCTTTTGCATTCAGAGCCTTCCATGACCTTCCACTCCCCCCAGCTTTCTTATGCCTTACACTCCCCTTCCCCCACACCCTACTGCCCAATGACACAGGCTTGCCACCCGCCATTGCTCACCCAGGACATGCCATCTCCAGACCTCCCCCAGGGCTGGGATTCTCTTCTTCCCTGTCTCTGCCTCCTGGCTTCACTGGTTTTCTTTAAGTTCCAACTAAACTTCTGCCTTCTCCAGGAAGCCATTCCCAGTTCATCTTAATGTTAGTACCTTCCCTCTGGTGATTATCTCCAATCTGTCCTGTCTATAGCCTGTTTATATGCACTTGTTTGCATTTTTTTCTTCCCATAAGACGGACTATGAGCTCTGTGAGAGCAGCCACTGCTCTTGAGCTTAGCACAGTGCCTGACACATAGAAGGCACTTAACAAATGTTTATTGACTATCTTTTGCCTTTCTTTTTACCCGTATCAGATAAAACAGTCCCTGGCACATAGTAGGTCCTTTAAAATACTTGTCATTAACCATGTTTAGTAACTGGAAATTTGGGTCTGTGGTATTGTCCAGGTTGGGGACTTCACAAATGGAAACTCCATCCATTTGTGCAAATTAAAAACTCCTGTAATTGATTGTCTATAACCCTAGAGTCTTCTTTTTATCTTTCTATACCCAGCTACTGGCAGAGTATCTGGAACATGTTAGGCTCTTGGCAAATGTTTGTTGGTTAATCTGAAAGCTGCCTGAGGGGGGTTCAGTGACCTGCCCATGATCACAAAGCTGGTATATATCTGAGGCAGAATGTTAGTCTCAGTAGGAGCCTCCTACATAGTAGACGCACAGTCAATTGACTTGAGTCTACCTCCTATTAAACTATACATTCCTGGGAGGTGACACTTGGTAGTTTCCACATCTGCATCCCCAAGTGCCACACACAGGGCCATACAAGCAGTAGGTATTTAAGTAAAGAAGGTTTGTAGATTTGAAATGAAAAATTCCTATTTCTGGGGCCAATTTCTGGTCCTTGTGGTTTAGTCTGGTCTTTAAAAGGCAAAATACAGAAGCACGAGCAGCCATTGTTCTCACCCTGAGATATTGGCCTAAGGGGAACTGAAAGGACTTTCCCTGGTGAAGTTATGAAGCTGACACCATGTGTATCTGTGTGTCTGTCCTGTTTTCCACGTTGCTTAGATGCTCAGCCCACGGAGGGCGAGAGGGAAATCTGGAACCAGGTCAGTGCCGTCCTCCAGGATTCGGAGAGCATTCTCACAGACCTGCAGGCTTACAAAGGCGCTGGCCAGGAGATCCGTGATGTGAGTAAGCCAAGCCAATGATAATATTGTCCTGACAACGGCGGAGAAGGGGTTGGGGGGGGGACGGAGAGGGAGGGAATGAAGTCATCGCTGCAGTATTTCCTAGAATCCTGGAAAGAACAGGGGATATAATGTGCATTTAAGCCAATGTATGAATGGTCCCTTTTATTTTAGGAAATTCATCCAACCAGACATTGTATCCACCCCTTACCCCCTCATCCAGGCATACATACTCGGGGGTTCAACATCCGCCTTTCACATAATGATTTAGTGTTCCAGCTTTCACTTGCATAGTCATTAACCAGTCTACTCTTTAAGGAAAACAAACATGGGATGATAAGGCTAGTTTCTAGCAACTCCTTCCCATTCTAGCCAGTGCTGCTGCTTTGCCAACCCCATATCACGGATGAGGGTGATGCTGACGCTCTCCAGGGCTTTCCCCTTCAGATCATCCCAGGGTCATAGATTTAGAACTGGGAGAGACCTTAGGTGTCAGCTGATCTGATTTCCCAGTTTTATGGATGATTAAACTGAGGCCAAAGGTCGCCCAGGCATCAAGTGGCAGAGCCAGGGATTCCAGTCAAGGACTTCTAAATGCAAATTCACCATTCCTACTGTTTGCCGCCCCATGCTGCCTCCAGCCCATCCTCTTCCTATCTTATTAGAGTGGTTTGTGAATATTAAATAAAAGTGGTCTTCTCAGGTTGGCATTCAGAGCCCTTGACAACCTGGTCAAGCCTCCTTGGCAGCCTTGTTTCTGATCACTCCCCTTCATATGTCCAGTGTTCCAGCCAAAGTGACCTTGCTTACTATTTCCCAAACTCATCCTTCCATCTCCAGCCTCACATTGGCACATCTTGTCCCCATTCTGAGAGTGCTGCATTGGCACATGCTGCCCCCTATGCCAAGAATGTGCCATTGGCACAGGCTGCCTCCTATGCCAAGAGTGTTCCATTGGCACAGGCTGCCCCCTATGCCAAGAGTGCACCCTTCCTTCTCCTTGCCTCTCATAGTCATCCCATGCCTTCAGAGATGACTCTTCGGGTGTCGCCTCCTCCAGGGAGTTCCTTTGGTTTCTCTATTTGTGAGTGATTGCTCCCTCCTGAAATAACATTGGACATACTTTGATGTATACATGCTGCACCCTCCTAGGAAACTCACTGAGGGTGGGGATCTCTTGCTTTTTGCTTTGAATCCTAAGTGCCCAGCACAGTGCCTGGCACAGTGTTCATTTATTCATTCATTGAACAAGTATTTATAGCATAGTGTCTGGCACGTAGTAGTTGCTTAATAAATTGATTGATCATGCATCTGTCATGTACCAGACACTGCTGGTGCAGAGGACACAGGCAGAAAGATCAAAAATGGCCTCTGCTCTCAGGCAATTTACGTTCTATTGGGGGAGATACGTGCGCCCACAAGCAAGTGCAAGAACAAATCCAAAGTCCATAAGCAGTTATTGGAGGGGAAAGCGCTGCTCCCCAGCGAGTTAGGGAAGGGCCCACGCAGTGACTTTTGAGTAGTTTGAAGGATGCGAAGGGTGATTCTGAGAGGTGGAGACAAGCAGGGCAAACATTCCAAACATGGCATGGGGGCAGAGCACCAAGGTGGGCCGGGCACTCTCACCTCCAGGGAGCAGCACTTTGGCCATTCAGTTTGGAAGCAGGAGGCATGTGAAAGGCCTCTGCGACAGCAGTTGGGAGCCTGATTCTGTAGGGCTCTAACACAGCCCCGAACCTCTAACAGAGAAGGCAGTATTTTCTCCCTGGGCCAGAGGGAGCCATAGTATGAGCTTTTGCATGAAATGAGTGTCATGGTCAGATGAGTGCTTTAGGAAAATCACTGGGTGCCACATGGAGGACTGATGGGAGTGAAGAGGGACTGGAGGCAGGAGGACCTGCTAAGAGATCATTGCAATAGTCCAGAGGAGAGCAGATGAGGGACTGAACTTGGGAGGCATGGAGGAAGAAGGGGGGTGGTACATATGAGAGGCAAGAGTTCTAGCCATCAGAATTTCCCACTTCCAACACTCAAAGCAGATGATTTTCGAAACTTGGGATGGTCTTTAGCCAGAAGGGAGTCTGTATTTGGTCTTTCAGAACATCTTCCACTGACACCTTGCAAGGGAAAGAAACAAAGCCTTGTTCAGGGCCATGTTAGTAGCAGACCGGTGAGGGGTGGGGGGAGAAAGTTTTCAGGATGTAAATCTCTGGGCTGGTTCTTCAGAAGGAGCTAATGAATGATCTCAGAGGAGACTGCCTTGTCACAGAATGTGGCACTGGCCATATAGGTTCTAGCGCAGTGCCTTGCACATAGTAGGTCCTAAGAAATGTTTGTAGGTAAAAGAATCCAACTCCAGACTTGTCATTTTTTCTATATGGCCCCAAAACTATAACCTAGAATGTGAAACTTAGAACACACAGTGTTGGAATTGGAAATACCCTTTGAAAATAGAATTTTAGAATGTGGAATGTTTGTGCTAGAAAGGACTTTTGGGAATAGAATGTAGGAGATGACAATGATCTTGATATACAAGGTGTCCCAAAAGTCTTAGGGCTTGCAACTAAATAATGTTAGAACTGGAAATGAAATAACTTTAGAATATAGACCCTTAAAACATAGATTATTAGGGGCAGCTAGGTGGCGCAGTGGATAGAGCATCGGCCCTGAAGTCAGGAGGACCTGAGATCAAATTTGGCCTCAGACCAAACACTAAACACTTACAACTGTGTGACCCTGGGCAAGTCACTTAACCCCAATTGCCTAAAAGCAAAACAAAATTAAAAAAAATAGGTTACTAAAATGAAAGTGACCTTAGAACACAAAATATTAGAACTTAAAAGGAACTTAAGTATTAAAACTGAGAGGTACTTTAGGACCTAGAACTCTGGAACATCAAATGTTAGAACCTGAAGAGACTTTAGAACAAAGAACCTAATCATCTAGAGTGTTAGACCTAGAAGGAGCCTTATCCTGTAGAATATTAGAACTTTAAGGTTCCTTAGAACATAGAACTGTAGAACACAGAATACGAGAGAACACAGAATACGAGAGTCAGAAAGTATTCTCTCCATATTTAAGTTTTTCATCATTTGAATGAGACGAATCATTCCATGCCTCTGGAGGGGTAAGGACAGTTGCTGAACCTGACACTTCATGGTGTAGGAAGCTCTTCTCCAATGAGGAAGCTCCCTCTACTGAAGCAAGTTGGCTTCTTCTCCATGACTTGGATCTTAGAGCACCATCCAGAGCTCCGGGGAGGTTATGTGACTTGCCCAGGGTCACACAATGAGTATGTTTCTGGGATAATACTTGAGCCCAGGTCTTCCTGGCTCAGGGGCTGCTTCTCTATCCATGACATCCCATGGCTTCTCCCTTGTAGGCAATCCAAAATCCCAACGACATCCAGCTGCAAGAAAAGGCTTGGAATGCAGTGTGTCCACTTGTTGTCCGTCTGAAGAGGTTCTATGAATTTTCCATCCGGCTTGGTGAGTTCAGATTTTCAGCTTCATTTTATTGATCTGTTTTTAAAATCTCAGTTCTGATGGGAACTCCCACATAGAGAGCACCCTCTACTTTTTCCTTTGGAAGCCAAACAACTGCCTTGGGAGGTCAGTGGTACAAGGATTGTTGTCCACTTTTTGGAAAGGAGGAAGCTGAAGCCCAGAGAGTTAAAGTGAGGATTGGGGCATGTCAGCATTCCCCTCCTCCCCCAACACACAAGCCTCTTGCCCTCACCCTCCTTCTACAAGCTCACAGGGAGAGATTGAAGTTGGGTTACTTCTGAGATGCAGAGTCATAAGATGAGAGCTACGAAGGATTTTAGAGACCCCTGGCTCCAATCCCTTCGTGTGAAAAGAAGGACACAGAAGAGGGCAGAGACTTTTCCTAAGGCTCCACAGACAAAGGTGGAAGGGCTGGGGTTGGACATCCTCTGCCTTCAAATCCACTTCTCTTTCCCCTGAATCAGGGGCTGGCAGTCAGAAAAGGGGGCTGGTGTGTGTTCATGGCTCTACCTTTCAGAGAAAGCTCTGCAGAATCTTCTGGAATGCCTCACGTGCCCACCCTACACCCCAACCCAGCACCTGGAGAGAGAACAGGCTCTGGCCAAGGAGTTTGCTGAGATCCTCCACTTCACCCTACGCTTTGATGAGCTGAAGGTGAGGTGGGGTCATCTGTCCTTGGTGCTCCCGGGTATCTTTGTAGCCCCTCTGGCTCAGTGGTTCTCAACATGGGCTGGATATCAGGAAGTCCATGAATGTGGACAGGAACCCAACTCCATCTTTATCTTCTAACCTCTAAAGGAAACCTGGCATTTCCTTGAGTTACAAATGTAGGCAACAAGCCATGGTAGACTTTGGCTTCACCAGATGGCCCAAGGGGCCCAGAGCACACAAATGCTGAAATGCCTTGCTCCAGCTGCATGTGCCCCTCCCATAGGACCTGGCCAATGCTTGTCTTCTCTGTCTCCTTCCAGATGAGAAACCCTGCGATACAGAATGACTTCAGCTACTACAGGAGGACAATAAGCCGCAATCGGATCAACAATATGCACGTAAGCATGCAGATTTGGTGTGTGGGCTGCGGACTACCGTACATGTATTTTGTATGGAAGAGAAATTTGAGAGAAGGTTATGGGAAGAAAATGGTGGTCATCCCACTTAAAAACTATTTTTGTTTAAATAAAATGTGGTGGATGTCTTTTATCTTTGTGTCACCTACATTCACCGCCCCCCAAGTATCCCTTATCTAAAGAATTGTAAATTGAGGGAGTCAAAAGATTAAGAAAAACTAACAAATGTGTTGTAAAAAAAGGCTAATGTCCTCTGTCCTGTCTCACCCATGGGCCTCCACCCATGCAGGGGAGGTACTTTCTGGTGTCTCTTCCCTGAGGCCAAGATTGGTCACCACCATCTTACAACAACACTGAGCATGGGTGTTGGCTATCATCATTGGGTGAATTATTTTTCTAGTTCTACTTCCTTCAACCAATAGTGGCTCAGACAGTTCTCCTTATCCATATACATCTTTTCTTACAGCTTGATAATATTCCATTTCCTTCATGTACCACAACTAGTTTAACCTTTCCCCAATCAATGGGTATCTATGTTGTTTCTAGTTCTTTACTGCCACAAAACTTGCTGCTATAAATATTTTGACATATATTAGGCCTTTCTTTATAATTTTTTTTTCCATTGAATAATGTCTACCAGTAGAATCTATTGGTTAAGGGGTATGAACATTTTATTAACTCCCAACATAATTCTAGATTACTCTCCAGAATGGATTCATTTACAACTCCACAAACAATGTAACAACAAAGTCTGTCCTTGAAAAACATTTATTAAAGGCTTACTATGTATAACAACCCATGAAGGTCTATCTTGGGAGTGGGAGAATATAGTTCCTACCCTCATGGAGCTTATAGTCTTCTTTATGTAGGTGGACATATGACACACATACAGATAACTACGGTACAAGGTATAGGGGAAAAAGAGGTTCAGACAAAGTTCCAGGAATATTTGAGGAAGGATCAATTCCTTCTAACTGGGGAGAATCAAGGAACACTTCATGGAGAAGGTGGAAACTGAATTTGGTCTTAAAGAAAGATTTCAGCAGATTGATGTGAAGAGAGAGAATATTCCAATCATTGGACTTGACCTCCATGGAAACACAAGCGGGAGAAAGCAGGTGGAGTGCATGGAATAATTAGGCTCCAATGTGGCTGAAATGTAGAGTTTCTAGGGGGCTAGTATGAAATAAATCTCCAAGTACAGGTTGGGGGGCTACTGTAGGGTGGGGAGGGTGCTTAAATGTCAGGCTTAGAAATTCATATTTTAACCAAAGGAGCCACTGAAGACTTTTAAGCAGGGATGTGTTGTGGTTGGACTTCTTCTGTAGGAAGATTGTTTTGGCATCTTTGAGAGGATGGACTGGCTAGAGAAGAGACTGTAAGCTGGGAGTCCATTACAGTAGTCTATGTGAGAAATGATGAGGCTGAATTAAGGTGGTGGTCATGTGAGTAGAAAGAAGGGTTGGGTGGAGAAAGACTTGACAAGACCTGTTGAGTTATCCCATGTTGGGCTGAAGGAGAGCAAAGAGTCAAGAATAACTCTGATATGTTGAACCAGGGACAAAGATTTGGAATGCAGTGGGGGATGGGGGAGGATATGTTAGCTGTACCTAAATGTTTGAAGAGCTGGCCATTGAAAGAGAGATGAGGCTTGTTCTGCTTGGCCTCCAGGACAGAACCAGAAGCAACAGGGGGAAGTTTCCAAAAGATAGATTTAGGCTAGATGGCAGGAAGAACCTCCAAGCAATGAGAACTGTCTCCAAGTGGAATGAACCGCCTCAGGGGTGGTGGGTTCTCTCCGTAGGAAGCCTTGAGCCAAGGCTGGAGGACCACTTATTGAGGATGTTGTAGAAGAAAGCATTAACCAGCTGGAGTTGGAACTGGGGTGGGGGGAGCAGTGGGGAGAAGGAGACCAAGATTCCCTCCAGCTCTAAGATGTCATACATTTGTAATGGGGAGAATCCATCTGTGTGGAGGTACCCTCAAAGAAATAGGGTTAGATCAAAGGAGGGAGACAGGGCTCAAGAACAAGATAGTGAGTTCTATTTTGACCACATTGAATTTGAGGTGGTGGCAGGACATCTGGTGGAGATATTGTGCAGGTAGCTGGTGGTGTGAACATGATGTCTGGGGGTTGGGGATGAACTTGATCCATAGATCTAGGAGTCACCTGCACGGTAGCAGTCATTGGAGCTGTGGTGGCAAGGAGAGAAAGACAGACAGGCACTGATGAGAAGTGGACATACAATTCAGTAAACATTTATTAGGCTCCTGCTGTATGCATGACATTGCGATAAATAAGGCAATATGATGGAGTGGGAAAATCACTGGATCTGTCATCGGGGATCTTGAGTTCAAATCCTTTTTTCCCTTCTTCCTGCCTCTGTGACTTTGGACAAGTCACTTTTCATCTCTTGGCCTCAGTTGCCTGATCTGTAAAATGAGAGTACTGGCCTTAATGATCTCTGAGGTCCCCTCCAGTTTTAACTCTATGATTCTGTAAAATAATGATGATGATGATGATAATGATGATGATGATGATGATGATAAATGGACCCAAAGATACAGCACAGGCCCTGCTTCAGTCTAATTGAGGCAGAAGGACATCGATGAATTAGAAGGGTTCTGGATTGGGAGTCAGGAACTCAGTATGAAGCTTGGCTCTGCCTGCCACTTACTGCCTGTGTGGCCTTGGGGAAGTCACGTCATGAGTTTCCTCATCTATGAAATGGGAAGGTTGGTCTAGATGGCCCTTGCTCGACATTTACGGGATGACATCCCTATGACATAAGGAGCATGTGATTACTTGAGAGGAAGAGTCGGGGCCATACAGCCAGCAATAGAGACTTGAACTCAGGTCCCACTACTCCCCATTGCCTGGCAGCTGGGACCCCCTTTTTATAAATGCCATCTTCTCTCCTTCCTTCCATCAGCTAGACATCGAAAATGAAGTCAACAATGAGATGGCCAACCGAATGTCCCTCTTCTACGCAGAAGCCACCCCGATGCTGAAGACCCTTAGCAATGCCACAACGTACTTTGTGTCTGAGGTGGGCATCCTCAAGTAGGGGGGTTGGGAGATGGGGTGCAGCCAGAAGGACTCACAGGGATGTTCTCATCTCTTGTGTCTTCTTTGTAGAATAAAACCCTGCCCATCGAAAACACAACAGACTGCCTAAGCACAATGATAAGTGTGTGTAAAGTCATGCTGGAAACGCCGTAAGTCAAGGTGGCCATCGGTCACTGAGAGGGTGCTGGGGGCCAGCACTGGCCGCTGGGCCTGTGCTGTGTATCTTGTTGGGGATATGTGACTGAGCATGGGGGAAGATAAATGGAAAAGCCCCTCAAGGGTCTGGAGCAATATTAGAAGGCAACCTTGGGTGTTTGGGTCATCTTCCCATGGTCAGACTGAGCCCAAGAGCTCTCTTCTAGGTCTTTCCCACTAGTGATGAGGCTCCCTGAAGGAAAAGTGGAGGGAGCACTGGATCTGGAGTCAGGAGGGTCTGTGCTCCAGCCCAGTGGCCATGGCTAGAGACTTATCCTCTGAACCTTAGTTTTCCTGTCTGTAAAATGGGGGCATCTGCCTTACAGAGTGATTTCTTTTCACTTCCTGGTTATCCATAGTTGTGGATGTTCTCATCATTTCAGCCCTGTCTCTGTGTCCAATAAAACAGTCTTCCAAAAACAAAAACAAAAACACAGTCTTCCTTCTGGATTTGTCATAACATTCTTGTTGCAAGCCCTAAAGTTTCAGATGAGTAAATCCAGGCACATGGTAGGCACTTTATTTGGACTCTGGCATGGAGGGCTATGCTTGTTTCTTTAGCATGTAGAAGTTTATGATATCTTAGATCTAAAGCCAAAAGTGACCTTAGAGGTCATCGAGTCTAACTGCATCTTCTTACACACCAGACAGGCAAAGTACTTCCCCAAGGCAACACAGGTGGTGTTTGAGGAGGGATTCGAACCCAGCTTTCCTGACTCCCAAGCCAGTGCTTCCTGTTTCTGGGGACACAAAATGCCTTCCTTTACAACTAAACTGTGAGGTTTCGCAGTGCAAGGATTACTGACCCATTTTACAGAGAGGGAAACTGAGTCCTAAAGAGGTGAAGTGACTTTCCTGTGGTCACACAGCCCAATACCATTTACACTGAAATTTTTCTTAATACTAAAGTTGTTTGTTTTGCTTTGAAGTTACTCCCCTCCCCAAAAAATATTATCTGAAGTTTTCTCCAATCTCTGTTTGACTTGGGACATGTAGACCACCAGCCTGCCCCTAGTGACCACATGGAATGCAAGCCATGTTCTCAGGCTTTCTGCCTGCTGGCTGCATGCCTTCTCCTCTTCTCCTACCCTGATCCATGGTCTGTGTGTCAAGGAGATAAGCAACTGCTTCTGAGGATCAGCCGCTTCTTCTATTGGAACGAGCCGGATTCTTCTTCCTCCATAGCAGAGTCATTATTCTCCAAACTCTTGGGCAGCCAGAGGGACCCACTAGAAAATAACCACAATTAATGGGCATTGGCAGGATGAGGGCAATTCCCAGTCCCACTCCAGGGTGAAATGGAAGATGTTTCTTTGCTTCTTCATTTCCCATCTGCTCTCTTTTGGTCTGCCTGGTCAGGAGGATGGATTCTTGGCAAAATGCTCAGTAGTGGACTTGTTATTGGCTTCTTGTCTCCAGGGTGGGTCTGAGAAGGTCCAGGTGAGATCATTCTAATGACCCCAGGTAGCCAGTGTTTGGATATTTGAATCATCGGGCTTTGTGGGTGAAACACAGCTGGGCTGATGAAAATTTGCTCTGTGTTCCAGAGAGTACCGAAGTAGATTCACCAGTGAAGAAACTCTCCTCTTCTGTATGCGGGTGATGGTCGGCGTCATCATTCTCTATGACCATGTGCACCCAGTGGGGGCTTTCTGTAAGACATCCAAGATTGATGTAAGGACTGCGAGGAGGCAGACTTGTTCAGCCAATGGCCTTTCAATGGTGCTGTCATGGTGGTCAGGTCTAACACAGAATGTTAGAACTTCTAGTCTTAGAAAAGAGAGGAAACCTGAGCATGAAAGGAACCAAGGACATCGAATGTTCTAGCTTGAAAGAGCCTTACGTAGAACATAGAATTTCAGAGCCAGGAAAAACCTTTGTCAGAGGAAACAAGAATGTCAGAGAATGAGAAAGTGTTTATTGAGGGCTTGCTAATTCTACAAATTCTTCTAGAACTCCAAGAGATGATCAGAGAAAGCATTTGATTGGAAAGGTCACCTCTAGTAGTGAGGCTCATCACATCCTCATGAAGCAGATGTGCTGGATAATCCAGTCCACTGGGCTGGCATGGATGGTGTTTGGTGACAGGCAAGGCAAGACCCTTCTCATAAGTAATCCACATTGACTGGGTTCCTGGCCCAGCAGGGGAGAGATGGAGAGTGATCAAGAGAGGAGATGGGAGGAAGGGAAAAAAAGGAGGGAGAAAAAAGATTAAAAAAGAATAGAAAAAAGGAGAGAGAGAGAGAGAGAGAGAGAGAGAGAGAGAGAGAGAGAGAGAGAGAGAGAGAGAGAGAGAGAGAGAGAGAGAGGAGAGAGACAGAGAAACAGAGAAGATAGGAGAGAGAGAAAAGAGATAGAGACAGACAGAGACAAATAGAGACAGAGAGAGAAAAGAGAGAGGGAAGGATGGAGGACACTGGTGATAATGTTTCACAGGTGAAACACTTAGAAAACTTGCAGGTGTTCTTGGTTCTTCTGATCTAGATTCTGCCCTTCCTAGAATCATAAAGGGGAAAGGGAACATGAATATGAGAGCTGTAAAGGATGAGACAATTGGCCCCAGTATGCCTTTCCAAACTTGCTGTGCACTACTCCTCCCCCACTACCTCCACCTGCTCCTTCCTTTTTCCTTGGCCCCCAGAGGTACCTCATACAAGCATTCTCTTGCCCTCCCAAACTTGGCCACCCCTTCACATTCTTATATCCTCTACTGCCCTAACCAAAAATCCTATCTCTTAGTCCAGCCTGTCCCAGCTGGGTGTTAGGAAGAAAGCAAGCTGATTAAAGTAATTCACTCTAAGGTGTGATTGACTGTGTGCCCAGGAACCTTCAAGTGGCATTCATTGTTTAAAAGAGCAGGCTTCTTGCCACCAGATGGCTCTCTAATCATGGGATTTCAGGTGGAGTAAAAAATGCAAACCCTTGTGAGGGTCAAGCTAGGGTGGTCTTGCTGGGAAATCTGACCCAGATGCCAGCTCTTCTCCACCCGCAGCTGCTCTATTTTTCTCCTGACTTTTCCATTCCCCACCCTGGACCCACAGATATAAAGGCAGTGTTGCATAATGGTTGGAATCCCGGATTCCTAGTCAGAAGGTTGACCCAGGAAGCAGTGGGTTCCACCTAGGCAGCTTCAAACAAAGGCTAGCCAGACACGACTTGGCTTTATTATAAAAAGGATTCTTGTTAGTTCATGGCTGGCCCAGATGGGTTCTGTAGTTCTGCGTGCTGAGACCCTGTGCTTCCAATTCTATGGCCAAGAGTCCTAGGTTTTGTTACCTCCTATCTATGTGACTTTAGACAAGTCCTTCCCCCTCCTTGGACCTCCCTTTACTTCCCCGAAAAAATAAAGGAGGTGATTTTGTTCAGGCAACAGTTGGATAGGATTTTTGTCATGTGAACCTGCCGTAATGTGATGTTTGTCTTCCTGACCTGTGGGGTGCTTGACTGACATTTCTTCTCCTAGATGAAAGGCTGCATCAAAGTGCTGAAGGAGCAACCCCCAGACAGTGTGGAAGGCCTCTTGAATGCCCTCAGGTAAGCCTGGAATTAGTGTCAGAGCTGAGAAGGAATTCAGAACGGACATGTCCAAGCTCGAGGGAGGTTCGGCTCGTAGAAAAGGCAATGTCTACTTTGGGGGAGGCTTCAGAGCACAGAATGCTAGGTCTTACAGGAACTTTGGATCTTAGAAAAGAGAGGATGACTCAGCATGAAAGGAACATAGGACATTAAGTGTTCTAGCTCGAAGGAGCCTTACGTAGAACATAGAATTTCAGAGCTGGGAAGGACATTTGTCAGAGGAAATGAGAGAATGTCAGAAATGAGAAAGTGTTTGTTGAGGGCTTGCGATGTGCCAAAGACCATGTGGAACTCTAAAAACAGAAATAGGAAAGTGAGAAGATTGCTAATCTCAAAGCATCTACAATATGCCAGGCACTGTGCTAAGTGCTTGGGATTCAGAAAAAGACAGAAAATAGCCCTTGCTCTCAAGGAGCTCACAGTCTAATAGAGGAGAAAACAAACAATTCTATGCAAACAAGATCCAGAGAGGATGAACGGAAGATGATTTCAAAGGACAGGCACCAACCTTCACGACTTGTAAGGTATAAGAAGTCTGGGAATACAGAACAGGGGATGTTGTAGCTGAGAGACCTTAGAACACAGTCATGGCTTGAGCACTCGCAGGATGTCTGAGTGAGGAGTTGCCTTTGAATATGGAATATCAGAGATGGGTTAGAAGACCTTAAAATGTAAGAATGTAGGAGGTTGGAACTTAGAAAGTGCTTGGGGATAATCTAGTCTGATCCCTTTTCTAAAATCAGGATTTTGAGGCCTACGTGGGGCAAATGACTTGGCCAAGGTGATACATTGAAGTAGGGCAGAGGAGCCAGGCTTCATGAGGCTCTCTCCACTACACTAATCACTCAGCACCTAAAGCAGTTTGTGTGGGCCATACTCTGGCCAGGGCAGAACGCTGAACTCAAGGCTGCTTGGCCATGCTTCTGACCTCAAAGGTGGCATTCGAACCCAGATCTTTCTGGTTCTCTGTCCGAGTCTTCTTGCCCTTCATGACAACTGAATGAACCCAGCATATGCCTGAGATCACAGGTCACGGAATCATCGATGTGGAGCTGGGACCTTTGAGATCATGTCCAGTCCAGCTCCCTCCGAGCAGAGGAAGAAGCTGAGACCCAGACAGGAGGTGACTTAGAGCAGAGAACCCTAGACCCAGAACTAGAAAGCACTGCAGAGGCCATTGAGGTTGACCCCCTCATTCCACAGGGGAAGGAACACGGCCCACCCAGGGACTCCAAGTTCGAACATCAGTCCTTTGAAAGCAGGGATTGCTTCTTTCTTTGCCTGTGTATCCCCTGCACCCTGCACCAGGGAAGCATGTCATAAATGCTTGTTGGTTGATTATCCAAGATGACTCAGGGAGCAGAGAAGGGATTTGAACCCAGTTCTCACCTAGAATTGAGGACTTGGAGTCCAAAGGCCTGTCTCCGGGCCCAAAGTTTCCCTTTCTCCCTCCAGGATATAGGTCTTGTTGGAGGCACAATATTTCATAATGAAGGATGCTCTTTCTTTGGCCATAAGATCAAATTGGGGATGGTCTTCCTTCATGGGGGTTGGGTTGGGGAGCATCCGCCCTGGTGGAGACAGCCCTCAAAGGGAAGCCCTCTTAGGTTCTTAAATAATTCAATAGGAGTTTCCTGGCCAAGAATTCTTGCATTATTGTTACTGTTTTGAAAGGCCCTTGTTGAGTTGTGGGGATAGAGGGTCTGGAAAATTCTTCAAAAGACTTACAGGGCCTCTATCTGGAAAGAGTCTCAAGGTCAATCTGATCCAACTTCACTGTTTAACTGAGGAGTAAACCATGTCCCAGACAGGGTCAGTGATCTCCCAAGTTGTCAGGGACAACCTTGGGGTGCTAGCCAAGGTCCTCTGACTCCAGAGATCAGGGCCTCATCCTGCTTCCTCATTTTGGGGCCCCTTAGGACCCAGATAGTCATTCCCACGTAGTTCTGAATCAGACTGGGGTCTTTGTCAGGCTGGGATCAGGAGATCAATGATAGAAAAGGGTGATCTTTGGTAACTGCTTATTCTGTGGAAGTTGTCAGTTTTAACACAGGTCAGTGACTGTATTTGGAAGGTGAGATGGTCCCATCTCAGTGGCTAAACCACAGGACTCCCAAGAGTACACACACATCTGTACCACCTTCCCCTCCCCTAGCTCAGTCAGATCATACTAACCCTGTGAGGTTGATATTGGCTTCCATGGGGATGTAGTAGTAAAAGCCCTTCTCTTGGAGACCAGAGACCAGCTGATTGATACTGAGAAAACTGTTTAGCCTCTGAGCTTGCTTCCTTCTCTGTATAAAAGGGTAATAATCATACCTGCATATTAGAATATAAGCCAGTTGAAGGAAGGACTGTCTCACTTTTTGTATTTATGTTCCTGACACGCACCCTAGTACCTAGAATACAGTAGGTGCTTAATAAAAGCTTATGTATTAAGTGATGGATTGTACGTCCTATTTCACAGGGCAGTTGTGAGAAAAGTGCTTTCTAAACCTTAGAACATTATGCAAATTTAAGGTCTGGCTATCCTTAACTTACTAAAAAGGAAACTGAGGCACAGAGAGGAAAACTAACATAGCCAAGTCAAGGACACCCCTGCTATAGGCATTTTAGTGGCCTAGAAATCCTATCCTTGGTCTGAATAAGTGTTTGAGGGGCAATCTATCACATCAAACCTTGGAGTCAGGGTGTCCCAGGTTCAAGGCCCGTCTCCGACACATATTGATTGTGTGACCCTGGCAAGTCACCTAGCCTCCGGTGCACAAGGCAGATCTTTGGGACAGTCCTCACTCCATTGCAGATGAGCTCCTGATGAGTTTCCATTTGGGGGAGCTTCCCACACTTCTGAGATCACAAATCCAAGACAGCAAGAACCCAGGAGAGGGGCATGGGGGTGAGGCAGAAAAAAGAGTGTTAGGGGGAGGTTGCAAAGAGGCCAAATCAGGTCCTAATATATTTGGAGAAATTTTTGAGTAATTGAACCTTTGGTCCCAAAGCAGAACGTGCCACCTTGGGGACATATCAGGAGTCAGAGGCCTTGGGTTCAAAGTCTTTTTCAGATCCAAATTCTGTGTGTGACCCTGGCTGATTTGACCTCCCCAAACCTCAGTTGCCCCATCTGTCCAATGAAAGGGTGGGGCTAGCTGCATCTGGAGTCCTGTCCGGCACTGAGATGCTGGGATCCTGCACTTGCTGGGCTCAAGAGCAGCAGACTGTGAACTCCGGACCTCAGTTCCTATTTCCCGTTTGCTTTCCCCTCCAGGTTCACCACAAAGCACCTGAATGACGAGTCGACCTCCAAACAGATCCGCGCCATGCTCCAGTAGAGGCCTCTCCGCACTGAGGATCCCACCGGGGCCCTGACCTCAGAAGATGTATATGTTTACATAATTTAATACAGATTTATGTTAATACTTGTGTATTTACATAACCATTTCCTTCCTGTCATTGAGATATATGGCCCTTCAGTCCTAACCTGACTGATTCTCGCAACCCGTAGTGAGACATAAATTTCCTCCCCAGCCCTCCCCTTGACCTTCAGACAGACAAGCCCCATAGCCCCACCAGCCTGGGAGAAGGGAGGCTTTGTGTTTTCTGTTCACTGGACCCTCAGCTGTCCAAAGTCCCTCCCTCTCTGTGGTAGCCTTCCCTTCCTCATTGCCCTGTCTTTGGGAGAGAAATAGAGTTGTGGAAGCACAGCTAGGCCTCATTCCTGTCTCAGCTGGGCTTAAAGCAAGGCAGACGTTCTCCTGAGACAGGAACTACATTCACCATAAACACTTTTTAAAAATTAAAATAAAAATAAGAAGTTACGTGTGGAGACGGGGGAGCTGGTAAGTATTAGCACTGGCTCGCTCTTCCTCGGCAGGCCCCACAGCGCATGTGTGGGGTCTGTCTCCTGGCTGGGACTCGGGGGGGACCCTTGACATCAGCAATTTCTCTCATTTGCACGATGGATTTTTCTTCTGCCTTTCTCTCTCAAACCATCAAGACAAGCTGCAATGCGGAGTTAATACTGCTTGATGACAGAGGCCCCTCTGCTCTCCTCCCCCCTCAGAAGCCTCAGCTGAGCCCTCTGTGCCTCCAGATCCATCCTGCTTTGAAGGGTCTCAAGAGGCCCGAGGGTTCACCTTCAGGCCAGGATCTTCTTCTGGGGGTCAGGCACGTTGGGCTCTGGGAGGGGCCCCCAATGCTGAGGAGCCAGAGGGAATCCTCAGCCCTCCGCAAACCAGGGTTCAGGGGAGCAGCAAGATAAACGTTCTGGATAATTCGAGGCAGTTCTGTTTTCATCGGAGGGTAATCACCAGGAAATGCTTTTAACTTTCAATCTACCCCTAGAAGTCTTCCCCCCAACCCCACCTTATGTCTGAACCCTCTTTCCTGCCTCGTGGACGACAATCTGGCAAAACTTCCCTGGAGGATGGAGGGTCCGGCAGGGCCCCATGAGCATCATCCGGGAACGTAGCCTAAGACAGCCACGTGGGACTTGAGCAAGTAGAACATGACATGTCATCTTGGTGAACCTTCTCATTTTACTGACGAGGAAACTGAGGCACAAAGCAGGGAATGTGACTGCTCAAGATCACTCTGCGGCAGTGCACAGCTCCGTCTCCTTCCCGGTCCTGTCCCCTGCTCACTGCTCTCTGGGCGTGTTGTGAGACTTGAAACAGCGAGGCGAGGGCCATGTTCTGTGGCAGGTTGGGCGCTGGCCTCTGAGTCAGGAACAGCTGGCTTCATCTGCCACCTCAGGTACTTGGGAGCCATGGAGAAGTCACGTTCCCGCTTTCAGACTCGTTTTCTTCATCTGTAAAATGGGGTACTAGTGCTGGCACCTGCCTCCCAGGGTCATGGGGAAGAGGAAAGCAGACTGTATTTGTCCAGTGCTTAGCAAACCTTCAAGCACCATAGAAATGGGAGCCAGTGTTATGGGTTACCTTTAAATGGCTTTTGATCATTGATGTGGTAGGAAATGGAGGGGGGAACGTGGCGGGGGGCCCATCTAGGTCTCTGCTTCTCGAGTGGCTGCCTGATACGGGCCCATTTTGTGGTCGTTTGCTGGATTCTTCTCACAGATAATTTCCAGCTAATTCTCTTTGGCTTCAGCCCTTGGAATGAGCAGGAGGACATGCACACCTTTGGTGCTGGAGTCTGGGAGTCATCACCCCGTCCTGCCCTGCCCCCTCCACACAGCCAGGGCACAAGCTTGCCCGCCATCCTCCTGGCTGTACCACTCAAGCACCTCTGGGACAGACAGAACCGGAGGTCTCATTCCCCCCCCCCCATTGGGACCCCACACACACAGGTGGCCATCTAGGTGCCTCTCAAGGAAAGACATTCCATTGTCCAGAGCTGTCTTATCTTTAGCTTCCAAGATCCAAGTTCTTCCCTGTGGGTCCAAGCAGAGCAAGCCTGATTCTGGTTCCACGTGCCAGCCTTTCAAATACTTGAAGACAGCCCCCATGCCCCGCCCCCACCCCTCAGCTTCTCCAGCTTGGCTGCCCCAGTTCTGTCCACAGCCTTCATCCTGAAGAGTCTGAGGCCTTTGATTCTGGCTCTGCTGCATAACTCCCAGCTAGGTGGCACAGCTGATAAAGCCCTGGGTCTGGAGTCAGGAAGACATGAGTATGAGTTGTGTGACCCTGGGCAAGTCACTTAGCCAAAGTTCTCAGCTTCTCCATTTTTAAAATGAGGATGATGATGGTGCCTGCAAGGCTGTTGGGAGTTTCTAGTGAAATAATCTGTGTAAAGCACTCTGCAAACCTTGGAGCAAGAGCTCTCTAATTACCAGCACCCATCATTCATTTCCTCATCTCTCAAATGGAGGTTTTGGACTGGATGGGTCACTTCCATGTCTCAACGTGGGATCCTCGGATGCTGTCTGCCCGTCATTTCCTTCAGTGACCTCGGACATGTTGTTCTGACTGTGTGGGCAGTAAAGAGTGCCCTGGGCCTGGAGACAGGGAGCAGGTTCGAATCCTGGCCAGCAGCAGTGTGACCCGGGAAGTCCACAGAATTAGGGGCTGGACTCAGTTAAGTCCAAGGTCCTGTCCAGCTCTCCATGTGGGGTCTTATGATTAGGCTTCCTGGGAGGTCCATTTAAGCTCCAAATCTATGATCTAATTGGATCTCAGATCCACCTTGATTGTCCTCCCGGAAGCTTCCCAGCTAATCAGGGTCTTTTCTAAAAGGTGGCGCCCGAAGGCAGCACAAGAGGACAGCTGGGGCCTGGAAGCTGCCAGGCCCTTACAAACCACCCCAGCTCGGGGTCTGAGCCACCGACTTTCATGGTGGGCCTTCTTGAGCTTCCGTCCACTGATCCCAAGCTCCATCCCACCCCACCCACCCCCATCTTTTTTTTTCAGTGAATTCTTCCTCCATCCTGCATCTAGGAAGTCTTTTTTTGTTTTTTGTTTTTTTTAACCTAAGGGGAGGACTTAAAATTTATCCTCACTAAATTTCATTTTAATTACTTTGACTCATCATTCATTCATCCTGTTGAGATATTTTGGCACCCTGGTTCTTTTCCTTCATGGTGTTAGCTGGCCCTCCCTGCCTTATGACATCTGAAAATCTGATAAGTGTAATCGAATTTAGAGCTGGGATGGAGACATCTGAGGAATGTGCCAACATGACCTCTACCCTGCACCACAAACAGGCCCAAATGTTGCACAGATTACAAGGGGATGGCCTGGGCTCAGAGCATCACACATCTAGGGTCCAGGACCCCTCAGAGTCCATCTGGGCCAACCCTCCCCATTTTACAGATAACAAAACTGAGGCCCAAGTATGTTAAGGTCTCCTAACTCCAAATGCAGCGCTTTTCCCACTACCATCTGTGCCTTCACCCAAACCAGTGATGATAAGATTGAACAGAACCAGTTCAAGTATCTTTGCTGAACTCAGGTGCCAGGCAGTAAGGGAAAAGCAACCTTCATCTTCTATCAGACAGCAATAGCAGTCCAATGAGCATTCTCCAAAGAGTCTTGCAAATAAATCCTAGGCTATTGAGAAGTGGAAGGGACCTGAGCCTTTCCCGTTAGTCAATACAGTTGTAACACAACTAATTCTGGAAAACAAGAGTGTGAACTGTGATCTCTGGAACTGTTAGGCTACATGGAAATACCCGTCTGTGATCCCTGAAGGTCACAAGTGCTGTGATATGGAAAGCGTGACCAATGTGGATGGTGGGCTTTTGTCATTCTCTGTGGCCTCATGGGGTTGGAGCCTCTAGAGCCAGCCGGGGGTCCTTGGACAGTCAAGAGACCCAGACACAGTTATGGTTGTAGGTGAAATGCTAAGCACAAAGTAGGACTTTTCACTGGGGCTCCTTTTACAGAGGAGGAAACTGAGTCCCAGAGAAGGGAAGGGACTTATCCAAGATCACACAGATGGTAAGGAACAGATCGGGATTCAAAACCAAGTATTCTGACTTCAGACCCATACCTCTCCCAACCCCGGTGGCCTGGACCACCAGAGAGATGGGAGATTAAGAAATAGGATTCCAGGGTCCTGGGACAAGAACTTTTAGATTTCCATTGAACCAAGTTTCTATCTCCACCTTCATCCACCACTGCCAGTTTTGCCCATGACCTCAAGGTGGTGCCAATCTGTAGCTGGAAGAGTCTGAGAAGGAAGAATGTGTTGCTGGAGTTGGAATAGAAATATTTCATCTTCTTCCCCTCCCCCCCTGCCCTTCCCCGCTCCCCCCCTCCCAAGAAAAAAATAGCAAGGATCTGTGCCCCCCTCCTTAGCGGGTGGAGGGAATAGCCTTGTGCTGTAGACTGATCTGACTTCCTTTTTGAAAATGGCTTGAACTAGGCTGCTCTGAATTTGTAATGGATTTGACAGTAATGCAACCAGGACCTTTCCCTTTAAGAGCCAAATGCACTAGAAGGTTCTTTGCCAGATGTATGTATAAAGAGCACTGCGCCTTGTGAACGAGACCTGGGTCCTGGTTCTCATTTACTTTTTGCAGAAATCATGGTCCTTCCTGACCTGCCCTTTCTCCTTTTGTACAGAAGTTTTGAGTGTAAAATGAAATAAAATTTGGTACATATCCTGAGAGAGCACGGATTCATTTCTTTAAAGTTTAGCCCTGGGGTAACTTCACTTTGGGGACTGAGAACTGGGTAAAATCTTAGAGGTCATTGAATGCCCCCATTTTAAAGAAGAAAAAACTGAGGTCCATGGAAGTGAAAATTACTTGAATTATCCTGAACTCCAGGCATACAAATAACAAAAGTAAAGAAATTCCCTACGCTCATCAAACTTAAGTTCTAATGGGGGAAACACACATATAGCAAAATGGTAGCTCGGGAGGGGCATTTGGTCCAGAAAGTTACTGGATGGTAAATGGGGCCATAGGAGGGAATGTTGACACACCCCACTCAGGAACAGTGGCAAAGTAGATTTAATCATAGTTTGTGGTTCTAGAACTAGAGCTTGCTACATAGACCATCGCAAGATATTTAGAGAGGAGAGTTCCTACAAGGTAAAAGAACCAAGACCCTGACCCAGGCCCTGAGATTCCAGATCCCATACCTTGACCACCATGTGTCACTGGCCATTGTAGAGAAAACATTTACTGAACAGTTGTTCTTCTCAAGGGCCTTACACTATGTAAAGTAATGGGGAAATGGTAAAGAGTACCAAATAGCTAGACTTTAGTCCACGTGTAAAAGATCTGGGTGGACCCTAAGCTCCATAGGAGTCAGCTATGCAATATGGCAGCCAGAAAACCAAATTTGATCTGAGGTTACATGAAGAAGAAGCCAGCTTCTGGGAATGAGATGGTGATAATACTGCCAGGCTCTGTCCTGGTCAGACCCCAGTGGGAGTTCTGTGCTTAATTTAATTTTGGACACTGCATTTTAGGAACGTTTTTGAGAAGGCAAAGGGTATCCAGAGAGGGCACCCAGGATGTGCCTTATTAGGAAGTAGGAAGATTGGTTGAAGGAAACGGGGTGAAGTAAGGGCAGCTAGATGGTGCCATGGATAGAGCACTGAGCCTGGAATCAGGAAAACCTGAGTTCAAATCCAACTGCAGGCACCTGATAGCTGTGTCACCTTGAACAAGTCACTTAACCCTGTTTACCTCAGTTTCCTCATCTGTAAAAATGAGATGGATAAGGAAATGGCAAAATACTTCATCATCCTTGCCAAGAAAATTCCAATTGGGGTCACAAAGAGTTGGACACGACTAAAATAACTCAAGAAAAACTTCCTGAGAGTGAGAGCTGCCCCAAGGTGAAATGGGCTGCCTGGAGGGGTGGAGAGCTCCCCAGCACTGGAGCTCTTCAAGAAGAGGCTGGCTGCTGGTCAAAGATCTTGGAGGGTGATTCAGATTTGGTTGAACCAGGTGTTTTTAAGGATATATTTGGCTCTGAGATTCTTTGTGTACCCAGGACCTCCAGGGGACACCAAGTTTGACTCTACTTCCATCACAGAGCAGCATCTCTCGAGCAAATTGCCCACAGTCAATCAACAGGCTTTTATTAAGGTGGCCTTTACAAATTCTGAAAATTCTCCTCCCAGCTCAGGGATGAATCAAGTTCCTGAGCGAGGCTCTATCTCTCCCTCAAGGTGCTATTGGAGGCTCCTGAGGAGGTGGGCTGACTTTTCTCTATGCTATTTAATACCTCAAGCCTCCATTCTGGTCCCCAGTATTAATTGTCATAGATTCCTAGTTTCACTTACCCAATTAACATCAACTCACTTTTACAAAGAGATATTTGCTAAGAAGATACAGGGAAAGCACAAGTCCATCTACTTCCTTCCCAGTGCCTAGGGTCACACTCTCTCCTGCACCATGCTTCCGAGCGTGGGGAGAGTGGGCTTTAACTTAACTCAGTTTCCACATTGCATTTACCCACCAAGTCACCTCTAAATATGTCCCTCTTGCTCTCTCTTCGTCGCCTTTGATCTTACTTCTAGACGTGTCAATCTGGTTACTCAGGACCTTGATTCTCACTATTTTTGGCAGTTCACAAAATCTAGTATGGCCTCAGCTCCCAGACCTCTACTGGCCTACTCATGAACTGCACGAAGCCAAAGGCTGATCTGATACTCCTCCACCTGGAACAGCAAAGAATAGGCACAAGCCAGAAAGAAGCAAGAGCCGGTCATGAACTCTCAAGCTAGATTGTAGAGACCCAGGTAGAAAGAGAAGGGCCCAAGGCCTCCACCCGAACCAGGAGGCTTACAGCATCTCTTGCCCATGGCACTCCTTGCTTGTCCACTCAAACCCAACTGGACAGGAAAGATGAAATGCTGGTAAATGCCTTTCAAATGTCCTCTCTGGGAGCCAAGATGGCGGAGTGAAAAGGTAGTCGCTCTCACTCTCCCCTATCAGCCCCTGAAAACCCAGAAAATATCAGCCCAGAAAAAAAAAAACCCTGGAACACCTGAACTAGAAGAAAGACAAGGAGCAGCAGTGCAGTAGCCCAGCAAAGGGATCTCTCAGTGCCTCAGCAAAAACAAGGGGCCCCAGGCAGATAAGTACTCTGCAGCATTCATCTGAAAGGAGGTGAAGAAAACAACCTAAAGGCTTCCTAAAGCCCTGGTCTTACTGATTCCAACCCCACACCAGGTGAGCTGTAGGAAGCCTCCAATTTTGAAGAAATCCTGAAGCCCAGGTGGTAGAGCAGGCAAACACCAACACCTGGACCTCCGAGTGCCTCAGTGAGGGCGGGGGAACCGGTGGAAACCAGCTCAGAAAACCACCAGGAGCCTCCGCACTCCACTGCAAAGGAATCTCCCAGTGTATTAGCAGAACGAGGGAGACAACACTGCAGGGGGCCCCAGGCAGATAAACATCCTGCAGCAGCCATCTAAAAGGAGCGGAAGAAAGCTAAAGGAAAGGAAAAGCAGGCAACCTAGAATTGCCTGAAAGTTCCAGCCTTGCTGATTCCAGCCCAACACAAGGTAAGCTGCCAGAAACCTACAGCCTCCAAATCCCAGCGTAAGAGGCCCCAGAACGCAAAGCCAGTGACCAAGACCTAGGCTCCCAACACAAGAAGCTTGGGTCAGTACCCTCTGTTCCCCAGCAGGAGAGCTCAATCTCTTTAAAGGCCAGGGAATAAAGAAACACCATGAGTAAAAAGAAACGTACCATAGATTCATATTATGAGAAGAGTGAAGATCAAGACAGAAATTCTGAAGAGGACAACATTGTCAACAAACCCACATCTGCAACAACAAAAGGGAATATGAACTGGTCTGAAGCCCAAAAAGCCTTCTTAGAAGAGCTCAAGAAGGATTTTAATAGTCAAATGAGAGAGGTAAAAGAGTCCTTCAAAAATACAATTGGCCAGTTGGAAAAAAATATACTGAAGAAAACAAGTCCCTAAAAAACACAATTGGCCAGTTGAAGAAGGAAGTACAAAAACTAACAGAAGAAAACAAATGTCCTCTCTGTTCTGACTCAGCAGCGCACCAAAAGTCCATTTCTTTACAACATGTGCATCCCCAAGCCCATGTGGGGATTTCATCAGTTAAACACTTTGCTTTTATTCATCAATCCTGACTTGGCCAGTCCTCCAATTCCCTCAGAACCCACTATGGGTGAAGAACTGTGTATTTGTACACAAATACAATAAATAAAATAATCCTTATTCACAAAAGACTTATATTCTGATGGAGCCAGCTTAAGATCAGGGGCAAGGAAAACTCCAAGAGGAGAGAGGGTCAGGTTTTGTTTGCTGGAGCTGTCCCCTCTGAAATCTGACTTGATTCAGCAGGCTGAGATGAGAGAGGGAATACAGAATACTTCTGGGGTGGGTGCACTGAGCCACTGAGCACTGTACCAAGAGGCCAGAGGCTATTAAAGTGAAATCTGAGCTTACAGAGTCAATGGATCTCTTCTGTCCTGAAATCAGGGAGAATTCTGCCCTCCCTCTGAATTCGTTATCAATCCTGAGATGGACTACGAACTGAGGGTCTCCCTCCCTGCCACAGTCACTTCACATCCAACTCTACAGAATGTGTGGTCTCCATGTCTTTCTCTAACAAGTCATATTACAAGTACTGGCCAAGGTAAGCCCCAACCTTTCCTTTCCATCTTCAGCTCACAAGCTTACTCATTTCCCCTTTCAGCTGTACCTTATACAGCACCTGGTCCTGCTTTATACTTTTTGTGTGTTTGTTTTAAAATCTAGACCTGTGGCTTTGTTGATGCATGCAGAATTCTGCAGGAGCCAGCTGGAACAAAACCCCTCAGACATTGAACCCACAAATAAGGGCTTGATTTATGGTTTTGTTGGCTGTCTGGTTTTAAGAGTGTGGCAGAGAAAATGTTGATAATCCCAATTAAATTTAAAATGGTGTCATTTGCTCTTTTTCATGATCTTGTGATTAACCATCTACTACTACACCAGTAACTATAGGGAATTGTTGTTGAGGAAACTTCCATCAGTGCAAATCAACACTTGGGGCAGTGAATCAACAAGCTTTTGCTGAGTGCCCACGATGTGCCAAACACTGTGTGCAGCAGTGTAGGGCCTTGGACCCCAGTCTTCCTCTACCTCTAATTAGTGATGGGGGGAGGCTGCCTCTATGTGTGTCGTAGTCAAGGATCTCAGGCCTGCAACATAATCGGATACAAAGTTAACACAGAATGAATAACACAGGGTAACAAAATAGGTGCTTTTGAGAGTAACAGTAGCTGGTGTGTAAATAGAGGTAGAAGCTTTGCAAAGGCACCAATCCAGGGCTTCTAATTCTCATTTTAGAGACGTAGAAGAATCTGAGAAGTGACCAGTTTTTCAGGTCTATTTGTACATCCAAACAGCATTAAGTAATCTCTAAGGATGTGTCTGGCGCTGTGCAAGTACAAAAAGGGACCAGTTAATCCTTTCAAGGAGCTCACCTCCTATTGGGACATAAATGGTGGCTGTAGGTGACTAGGTCATGCTTGATAAAATGATACAAATTGTGGCTTGTGTTCTACAGGTGACGAAACTAAGGCAAACAAGGTTAAATGACTGGTCCAGTGTCACACAGCTAGTAGGTGTCTGAGGCCAGATTTGACCTCACAAAGATGACTCTTCCAGATTTTAAGCCTGGCA